CCTTTGGGTCTTCCATCTATAAACAACACCTTCAGAAAAGGAAACGTCATTTTGAAGTTCATTTTTTGTACATGAAAATCATCTTTAAGGAAAAAAAAAAAAAATTATTTTTTTGTTGATAATTCTGGGTATCGGGAAAAAAAAAATTATTATATTTTTTTTTTTATCACACTGGCCATTCCCCCCAAAGGCGGGGTGGCCTAAAAAAAGAAAACTTTCACCATCATTCACTCCATCCTGTTTTGCCAGAAGGGTGCTTTACACTACTTTTTTTAAATGAAACTTTAACACCCCTCCCTTCAGAGTCGGGCACTGTATTCCCATCTCCAGGACTCAAGCCGGCCTGCCGGTTTCCCTAAACCCCCTTTCATAAATCTATTTTGGCTCACATCCAACACACTCAATAAAAAAAACCATTTGTCTCCTTCACTCCTATAAAACATGCTCACGCAGCCGCTGGAAGCCCAAAGCCCCCCGCAAACAAAACCTCCTTTACCCCTCCCTCCAACCTTTCCTACCCCGACCCCCCCCCACCTTCCTTCCACTACAGACGTACACTTTTGAAGTAAATCTGTTTCGTCCTTTTCTCTTATTTTTCCGAACCACCCCAAAACCCCTTTCCCTCACCCTCGGGACAACAGTTTTGGTAATCCCGCACCTCCTTCTAACCCCAAACACAAATTCTTGCATTTATTCCCCCCAAAACATTGCCCTCAGACATGACACCCACGCCTCCACCTTCTCCTCGCTGCAACTTTCACACCCATGCTTACCCCTTAAAGCTTTGGGGTAAACCTAACTCTATACATTCCCCTCTTTGTCTCCAAGGAAAAATTTTCTTTGTCTCCAAAACCCCTAAGTGCACCACCCACATTTTTCTTGGGGGAAAATGGTTTTGCAAAATCATCAATTTTGCTTTAATACATTCTGGAACAGATTAATTTTGAAAAATGTGGGCCACTGAATTTTAAAAAGCAAACACACGTCGGGTTTTTTGCTTTTTGCATTAGCATATGGGGGGGAAAAGAACTTTTTTTAAAGATTGAGACACTTAGCACCATATGGGAATCTTATTTAGGAAACGTTTCACACACAGTGGCTTCACAGTCCAATCAAAGCAGAGAGGTGCAAGAAGGGGGGAGATTGAGTAATCATCCCTCAGCCTGGATCAGGGTTTTCGTCCTAAATCTTGTAGAATGTAGCAGGGGGCCGTGACGTGGCTTAATACTGTATTGGACTGAGAAGCCACTTGTGGCGAAATTTTCCCTAAATAAAGTTTCCCCCATATGGTGCATAAGTGTCCAATCTCAACTTGGGGTTTCAAAACCATTCATCCAACTGTCAGACACGTATCATCGGGGATCTTGATCAAAAATTTCTCCTACTTGTCCTACCTTTGGACGAAGACCTACTTCGACAGTGGGGGTACCACTATGACCCCCCCTCTCCCGTTTGCCCTCCCTGACAAAATTAAAAAAAACCACTTTTCCGGCCCTATGCTGCACATTCAAAAAGATTGTGGACTGAACACATCGACTCCAGGGAGGGACGATTACCCAACCCCTCCTCTTCTGCATCTTTTTTTGTATTGGACTGTGAACCCACTGTGTGGCGAAACTTTTTCCAAAAAAAAGATTCCCATATGGTGCAAAAAATGTCTCAATCTCAACTTGTGGGTTTCAAAACCATTCATCAGAACTTTTTTTTTACTGGAACACTCACCCCCGACTCTTCTCTCATATAAGGGAAAAAATTTTACCATTCACGCTTATCGAGCAAGCGGCTCATGTAAAGTTTACGTAAAGGGCCCCTGGCGTCAATTGTATGAGTTCTATGCAATAGCCACTGAAAGGGTTTATATCGGGGATCTGAAGATTGAAATGTTTTAAAAACATGCTGAAATATCATGTAAGTAGGTGTAGATAACTTTTGGACTCAATAAACTTTGTGTATCATGGACCCTTACTTAACCCCTGAATGGGTTGCAATGATTAAAATGTATATATAATGGGCCCCCCGGTTAACGTTTTTAATCCGTCAAAAGGGAAATTGTTATGGGGAAAAAATCGTTATGCGAATGAATTTTCCCCCTAAAAAATAAAGGAAATAAAATTAATCCTGCAAGAAGCCCCAAATATGAAAAAAAAATTTTTTTTCCAAGAAATGTTAAATTTTTAAACACACAAACTGAAAAAGGCATGCACAATTACATGACACTTTCTTTTATTGAAGATTTGGGGAGATGATGGGATGGGAGAGGGGAGGCATTATCTTCTTACTTTTTAGAAGGGGAATCCCCCTTCCCTACGACTTTAGGTAGCAAGTCCTTTTGGGGGGACTTTCCCCCTTCTTTTAATGCCCCTAGGGCCAGCTTGAGAGTCCTGGACCCCTGTCCACAACAAACTTCCAAGACTCTGTAACCCCCCGTTCCTTTACGATTTGTCTAAAATGGGGCCCCAAAAATTGTATTGAAATATCACCCCCACGGCTTTCAACAGCTGTTAGGTGAATTTTTATCTATAAAGGTTTGCGTTCACCCACTTGCACACTTTCCTTAAACTTTGAAGTAGGGGCAAAGGGTTCCACAACTGGATAGGCTTCAGGGTTACCCCAAACCCTTCAAAATCTTTCTAATTTTCCCTACTAATTCTCACCCTTTTTTTCCCCAGGGGTTGGGCCAAAGCTTTTTTGGGGGCCCCTGTCACTTATTTTTCCCAAAACGCACCGAAAACACTGTAATAATCGAAATATTCCGGTGTATGCTTGGTGTTACCGCGGAGGGGGGCTGGGAAACAATGGGACGGGCGGCAATGTGAGGGCACATTGGGCGCGTCTCGGACGAAAATCGGTGAGGGGGTTTTTTTAAACGGTATGCGCGGCAAAAAATTTTTTGATAAAAGTAGCGGGATGCGGAAAAATCGCTATGGATGCCCTCGTATGCGGGGGCCCTGTATAATTATTACCCTTTTTTTAAAAATTTTATTTTTATTTATTATTACACACTGGCCGATTCCCCCCAAGGCAGGTGGGGCCAAAAAGAAAAACTTTACCACATTCACTCCCTCATATTGCTTATTTTGGATAATAGTAAATCGTAAATGTATTGCTTTATATTATTATTTGACTTAGTTATGTTGTTGGGTAGGATGTAACATATTATGTCTCAGTTCAAGTCTTGATTGTCTAACTACTGTAATTATCGCTCTTTGCTCGTTTCCCTGCGGGCTTCTTGCTGGGCAGCGACCCACGGAGCTATCACGTGATCGAAGGGGAATTGTCCTCACCTCGCCTGAAGTACGTTTAATCAGTCTGGTTAGACTCGCTGGGGGGTTTTGGAACGTATTCCAGACAAAGTGCCTAAATCCCCTTATAGGCACTTGTTGGAAGATCGTCTCGTCTCATTATTGTTAGTTCTGGAGACTGTTCACAGAACACTGTATATACTTAGTGATTTTCGACGTTGTACTGAGGTTGTGTGTCGCATAGACACTTGAGCAATACGGGGTCCTGAGCTGTAGCTTCTGACCTAACTTGTACTGGAAATCTGTGTATTATCACAGTCGGGGGATTTTCTTATGCTAAAACTTAGATTCAGTAGTATGGGAGTTGTGACTTGTGGAGGATCTGCAGATAGTCCCTACTTAGTGTCGTTATATTACCCTCCTTTTTCCCTGACCCTGTGTCGCAGTTGCTTGTTATATTGCTATTAGCATTCTTTTTATTGTTCAAGCAGACTGTTTGATTCCCAGTTGGTCAAGAAGTTAGTTTATTTGAGGACTTTGTCATCACTTGTTTAAGTCTAGTCGAGTCTTGAGACTTAGCGAACTACTTAGAGCACTTGCACACATACACAAACTTACTTGTACATATTTGTAATATCTTATTAAATGTTAATGTACCAGATGGTATTTAAAGAATTATAAATGTGATATGTGTTTTCACAAAATACTATTGTATACGAGAGAAGTGTTTTTTATTATTTCTTTTTGATTTTAATTAATTTAATATAATATGATATACCTCTAGACGATACTTAATAAATTTTTATTAAATTTTAATTTCTCTAGTTAGTAGCCTACCAGTTGTAATCCTGGCACTATTGAATCATACTGATTCTAATGGATAATTGGACAAGGATACTGACTATTGTTACGAAAACCCAGTAACAGGCTGGATGCTAGAAGGGCAGTCCTTTCTAGATTCACGGAGATCTCTAAGATTTTAGAATCGCATTTTTTTGTAACAAAGGGGGGGCCGTCTGGGAGGCTCTTGATCCAAGGTGTTGGAGAAATTGTCCATTTGACTACTAGTAACTCTATGATCAAACACTTTTAGTATTTTCCAATCTGAAGACTTTGAGTTTAGTCTTGTAAAACATACTAGGTGGATGTATGTACTTGACTGAGTCTCTTGACCCAAGGAGATGGAAATACTGTTTATGAGCTCTAACTTTAAGACAAACCAACACTAAAATTCCTTTAGGATTATA